TTTCTGTTAAGTTTCTAGAAAACTGATGTAGAACTGTAAAGGTAGATCCAAACTGTACACTTGCTTTGGGGACAAAAGGGGAGACTCTACATGTTTCACTTTTTTTCTAAAGTGTTGTCTTTCCAGTGTAGCTATCTTGTTGCATCCTTTTCTACTCCAGGGCACTTGTGCCCAGGTTGACTTTTTTTTTTTTTTTTGCTAGTACTGTATCAGCTCTGTAAAAAAACATGTTTGTGAAAGGAATATGTAGTAATACTGTTCCATGCTGAATATGTTCCACTTCAAAATCTGACTCTGTCCCAGTCTTATAAAATACTGCTGTAACTGAGTGACTTAATAAAGCTGCACAGTGCTGTTATGGGACTTTTTTTTTTCCTGGAACCAGCATAACTGAGTATTAAAAATGGCCAATGTAGAGATGACTGAAGCCTAAAACAGACCTTCTTACTTAGCATTAAAATGAAAAGCCTGTAGCAGCACTCTTTTTCTCTCCTCTTGCCCAGCTATTGGGGGTGCTGTATGGCAGCCTTTTCCCTAGCCCTGTTTTCATTGTCTTAATTCTACAATAAGAGCTTTGTGTTGACACCTCAGCACTTGTCAGCTGCTACTGTTTTCTGTTTTAAAATGGTTCAGAACCACCTCCCTTTGGATGCTGATGCTTCAACAAATAAGTCCTTGTTACATGGTTGTGTAATGTGGCTTTTTTTCCCCCCTTCCTAACATAATGAGTATTTCCCAAAAGCTACTTGAGCTCTTGGCATGGCATGATGTGAGCATTGTGAAGAAACTACTGAAAACTGCAGAAAGTGATTTGGGCTTGTGTGCTAGAGACTTGAATTTGCAAGGGGGGTGAGGGGTGGCTCCTATCAGAAACTCCAGTACTTGGAACAAACCTGTTGTCATGGACACTTAATTGAGGGAATAGAGTGCACACCTCTAAAACCGAACAGTTCTTTTGAACTCAGTCACCTAGTACGAAGGAAGGGAATGATTACTGAAGGCAGACTTATGGCCCCGTAAGCACCAGCTCAATGGGCAGTTAGTCACATGGATGGGAAGGTTTTGCAGGTATTAAAGTCCCCTCAAACTTGTGAGATGAGCTAAGCAGTCGAATCATAGAAGTAGGGTTGAAGGGACCTTGTAGATCTTCAAATCCGACCCCCTGCCTGGGCAGGAGAAGAAATGATCCCAGCCAGGCAGGCATCAAGCCTCCTCTTAAAACCCCCCAAGGTAGGAGCCAGCACCACTTCCCTTGGAAGTTGGTTCCAGATCCTAGCCACCCTGACTGTGAAGTAATTCTTACAGATGTCTATTCTAAACCTCCTCTCCAGCAACTTGTGGCCGTTATTCCTTGTTATGCCAGGGGGTGCGAGGGGAAACAAGGTCTCTCCCAAATTCATGCTAGGATTCACTGTGGTGCCTGCTAAGCCTTTTTGCCACCTTGCCATGCTTGGTAGCTTCCCAGATGCTCCAAAACTGGAATAACCTAGGACGGTGGTCCCCAACCTGTGATTCATCAGCAACACATTGAGCAGGAGATGTTCCAGCATCGGTCGCAGCCACTTTGTCTCCTGTAAATGTTTGCTCTGAGAGCGCAAATGCTGTATTCTGTTGCCTGCTCTGCTAATTGCTTGGTATTGTTGGGCCAGCAAGGGCTGGAGGAATACTGACTTCTGAAGTTTTGCACATTCACAAGTGCCAATCCAGTGTGATGCACACTGGCCTGTGTGAATAGCTTTGACATCTGGGGGCTTTTTTTTGCCAACCTAGATAGAATGAGAGTTCCCCTTTTTAAAAAAAAAAAAAAAAAAAATCCTTTTGAGTCTGTAATACATGACTTCATATTGAGCTTAACTTTGTTTGTCTCTTCCAGAAACTGACAGCTGTTTCCATTGACTAAAGTTGAAATTCTTGGTGGTAAACGCTTCTAAAACATCCCATAATGGTGAGATACCCATAGTCTCTCCCCACTTCTCAATTACTTTGGCCTTTCTGTTGTAGAGACAGTATTGTTTGACATGGAGCTAGATGCAAATCAGAGGGATACAGGAGGATGGCATACCACCTAAGCAATAGTGGCATTTATTTACAGTGGTGGGAGCTGCATGGCAGGAGGGGGGAGGTGAGCTGGGGGCCAGGCAGACAGAATCTTTGTTCTTAAATCTGTTGATTCATTCTCCAAGTTGGTCTCCCCCTGCCATTTCCTGGGCGTATTGCTGTAGAAATCTCGCTTCTCAGCCTCGCGGTGAGTTGTGTTGAAAAGGGGGGTGGGGGGGAGACTAGGAATATCAGAAATGCAGTTGGCATTATCTCTTCCTTCGAGGATCTTGGAGAGCATTATTTCAAAAGAGAAGTATTTTCATGCCTGTTCCCAAGAGAGGAAACAGTGATGGAGGTAAATTGGATTACGTGGGCTCATGTAACAGTGTAAGTCAGGCATGAATGGTAGGTCTCCCAGCTACTCCTAGTGCTGCACCTCCTGAAGTGCACTACCGGCACGGCTTATAGCGTTCCTAAAAATGCCCCACAGAGCATGCTGGTCCCCAGTGGGAAGCCCAGTTCCACCAGGCTGTAGTGAAATGTCGACGCTGCCTCCAGCTGGGACTTGGAGGCCTTCCATCATGAAGGCCTAGTTATACCTGACACTGATTCTTGCATTGTATCTAAAAGGAACACAGCTCACGGGATATGCCTGCCCCGTCTCATTTATCCTGGGTCCAAGGTGTGTGGTTTTGTAGGCAACAGCCTACTTTGTCTGCTGCTACATTTGATTAAATAAACTGTCACCTGTGGAAGCTCACGTGTCCTAACCCTGCCCTGATTTCAGACTAACATGGCTTTACCTTAAGAAGGATACGAGATGGTGGGTACTCGAGAGACAGTATTAAGGGGGAGAGAAGAAAAGCTGAAGGTGCCAGGAATTAGAAGGTGGACAAAAATAGTGAAGTAATGGATTAGAGGGGATGGGATGTGTTGAGGGAAGAGATTGGTTCCCCAGGAGCACCAAGCTTTGAAGCCAAAAAATAAGCACATTGTATGGATTATTACCAACAAACAAGTCTGAGCATTGGAGCAAATGCTCAAGGAAGGTGGATGTTCTAGGTCTTGCTGTCTTCAAATCAAGGTTGCTTTTCCAACAGGTACGTTTCAATCCAGCAGAAGTTTTGGGGGCTCTTACAGAACTAATCGAGGGGTTTCATAACAATGGGGCTTGACAGACAAGTTGCAGTATAGCAGTGGGGGCCAGCCTTGATAGCATGCCACATGCTGGGCCTGGAGTGCCCTTTGGATCCCCTTCCTGCTGCCTGCCATGCTGCTGTCTGCTCCCTGCCTGATCTGTGGCTGCGCTGCCTGTCCTGAGCTGTGACACGAACTCCGTGTGCGCCTTGTAGCACTTGCACCACAGGTTTGCTACTTGGTGATTGGTCCTCAAAGCCTACGACTCCGGATTCTTGGAAAGATTGTGGCGGGGGAGAGGAGACAGCTGCCGTTGTTTATTAAATGCAATATGGAGGTAATATGTATGCAGCCCGCGTGTAGGCTGCTGGGCCATTGATTTTTTTTTTTTTTTCTCCCCCCCCCTGCTGACATTACATTTTCTGTTTTAGCACTGATGAAATCTAGGCTGTTGGATGGGGCAGGCGTTGTGGCTGCTGCCTGGGGGAGACCGGGGCGGTCTTGCCACCCGGCCACCAGCACCTATTGCTTTGGGCTCGCACCCATCCGTTACTGCAGCAGCAGCCGCCTCCACTTAGCAATGGGTGCACCTCCGCTGCGTTGCCAGCCAGAGCGTGACGGCAGTGTCTGTCGGCGTGGGCATGTATTGCAGTCGCATCTTAGCGCTGGGCAGTCAGCAGTGCCAGAAGGGCATGTTTTTCCCATGATTGAACCCTGCGGCGGGGTGAAACCCAGCGCTCCAGCCCCGGGTCGATGGGATTCTGCCTGTGCCCCAAGCGGTCAGCGCAGCAGTGGCAGGGGAAGTGTGGGGCTTGGTGTTTTGTGAACGGCTTTGTCCCTGGCCTTGGGGTGGATCCTGCGGATGTTGTGGGAGCCTGATCTCGCGTCGCCCCGCAGTGGCCGCTAGCAACACTTCAGCTCCGGAAATGAGGCATCCGCTTGGGTCTTTCGAGTGGATCATAAAAGCTGCCTCAGAGTGAAAGGAGCCCACACGAGCTGCTAGTCGTTATCATCGCTACTTCCGCTGTCTATGGAAAGCAGCTGCCGCTCCCTTTCTCCTGCTGGGTTTTTGTTTTAAATGTAGAGGTGCAGCTGCGGTCTGTGCTGGAGGGAGCTGATGGGCGGAGAGCTGGGCCACTAAACGCAGCGAGCCCTAGGCAGGCAGGTAGGGAGGGGGCCCGTGGTGACAGCGCCCGGCGTGGGGTGGGTGGTGGGTGGCAGGGCTGCCTCATCTCTGACCCGGCTTCTGGCCAGGGGGTGCGGAGCGCGTGGGCCTCCCCGAGCCCCTGCACTCCTCGCCGCCTGGGTGCCGCGGGGCTCCTTCCCTTCCCCGCCCAAGCTGCTTCCCGCTCCTTCCCCTTCGCTTCCTGCCAGCCCTGCAGCAGGGCGAGGAAGGCAGGTCTGCGCCGGCCATCGTGGGGCAGCCAAGGACCAACAGCCCATTTTGCAGCGCAGGTACTGATAGCAAGTGATGTGCCAAGCCCCAGCTACGAGCCACTCGTGTCTGCTGTGCCGAGCCCGGACATGCGTGTAACCAGCGTGGGGGGGAGGGGGCTGCCCGGGACTGCTGCTTCCTGGGACGGCGGGAGAGAGAGTGTGCGGGAAGCCTGCAGCCTTGCTTCCCACTGCAAGCTCCCCAGGACAGGCATACAGCACCGAGCACCGGTCTGCGGCCTTTCGAGCGCGATGTGATACCACTTCAACCCCCCCCAGCCAGCCTTCATTTCTCATTTCTTCTGAGGCTGAGAATATCATCATCCCCTACTTGCCAGGCTCAGGGATCATTTAGAAACCCCCTGGCCTTACATACCCGTCCTCAGGAAACCTCCTCTAAGCTTTCTCTTCGTCTCTTCCCAAAGGTCTTTTGCTGGGCAGCGGAGGAGAGTTTGATTTCATCATGGCAACTATTGTCACGGAAAAGCTCAGCCGTCTTTTCATCCACGTCCAGCAGCCTTGGCACATCCCCAGGCTGCTGGAGGCCGCGTTCCCTGCCTCCCCGTCCACTGTGGGCACTTCGGACGTGCCCAAGATCTTCCGGAAGCCCTACATCCACACAGGCTACCGGCCTCTCAACCAGACCTGGAAGTACTACTTCCTGACGCTCTTCCAGCAGCACAACGAAGCCATCAACGTCTGGACCCACCTGGTGGCCGCCGTGGTCCTGCTGCTCAGGTTCCAGCAGCTGTCCCACACCATCGACTTCATGAGCGATCCTCACGCCCACCCCTTGTTCATCATCCTCATTGCCTCCATCACCTACCTGACCTTCAGCACCCTGGCCCACCTGCTCCAGGCCAAGTCTGAGTTCTGGCATTACAGCTTCTTCTTCATGGACTATGTGGGCGTTGCCATCTACCAGTATGGCAGTGCCACGGCACACTACTACTACGTAATTGAGCCAGCCTGGCACGCCAAGATCAAGGGCTTCTACATGGCAGGGGCCGTCTTGTTGGCTTGGCTGTCCTGCGTGGGCTCCTGCTATGCCAAGTACCGGTATCACCAGCTGCCGCGCTATCTGAGCAGGCTGTATCAGGAGATGCCCTCGGGCCTGGCCTACATCCTTGACATCAGCCCCGTGATTCATCGGATCTACATGACGCAGTCCTCGGAGCACCCGGACCCAGCCATCCTGTACCACAAGTGCCAGGTGCTGTTTTTTCTCCTCGGTGTCTTGTTCTTCTCGTACCCCTACCCGGAGAAGTGGTTCCCTGGGAAATGCCACTTCTTTGGGCAGGGCCATCAGATCTTTCACGTGTTTCTGGTGCTGTGTACCCTGGCCCAGGTCCAGGCGGTGGTGTTGGATTACGAGTCAAGAAAGCAGGTCTATGCCAGTCTGCACGCCGAGATGCCCCACAACTTCTCTGCTCTCTGCCTCTTCACAGTCATCTGCTGCGTCCTCACAGCCACGTACATGGCCGGCAAAGTGAAGCACAAACTGAGCTGCAAAGCAGAGTGATGCCCCCAGACTGCTCCCAGGCTACTGAATCCTGGCTGCTGAGCTGTCTGAATGGCACTCACCCTGACCCGCGGGTTAAAACCTGCCCGGGGGCTTCAGGATACAGTGGAGGTGGACAAAGGGGAAATACCGAGACGGCGGGCCTTGCAAGGGGCTTTGATTCTGTATCCTAGAAAGCGCGCGTGGATGTGTGCGTCTGTGCACGAGTGTGTGTGTGAAAACTTTTCCTCCCTCTGCTTGTTTTCTGCATTTGAAATTCAGACCCCGTGTTTCCCGGAGCACTGTATGAAGCTCTGGAAACCCAGCGGGACTGCGGCATCCGAGGTGCCCTGCGTTTGAAGCCCGGAGATGCGCGGGAAGGGAAGTGACTTTTAAATCAGAGTAGTTAAACCTGGTTTTGCTGTAATTCTGATTAAACTCAAATGCCTGGGATAAAAGCTGTGTGTTAGAGTCCATCCTTGTACCCTGAGGTCTGTGGAGGGGGGAAGTTCCCTGGTCACCTTGGGGTCCCCAGTGAGGCTTTCTAGCAACACGAAGCAGGGCAGAGCTGACAGTCCTGAGGTTTCTGTGGGAGAAGTTAGACATCAAAGCCAAGTCCGGCTTTCCTCCATACATCACAGAGCAGCAAGCAAGGAGATAAGTCCAGGATGGGTCTCGTTTGCAGATACCCGCTAGGCCATAAGGACCCACAAGCACCCTCTCGCACACCGCAGCCACAAAGCACCCTGGTAGCAATCAACCCTGATGTGCCCCAAGCCAAGAACAGGGGAGATGAGGGTTTTGCACTGCCAGCGGCCCACAACAAAGATGGGCAGGAACAGGAGAGGACGTGGGAGGGGAGGAGGCCTTGTTCCCACTGACCTCTTCCCCCTGCAACGCCTCTCCGCAGCAGACAGCGGTAATGGATGAGTGAGGCACGGGGGTTGTGCAGACCTGATGGGAGCAGAGTTGGGTGACACGGGGTGGCGGCTCTACTCCTGCCACGCCTGGAGCTCCACCTGCTTTGGCTGCAATGGGAAATGGCAAGGACCAGGAGCCTGCGGGAACTGGGGAACGAATGCACCGGTGGGAAAAGGGGCAGAAGGGAGACACGCTGAGAGCAAGGGCTGGTTGGTGGGGAGGGACAGGAGATTGGGTGGAAGGCACAGGAAGATCCTTCCCTATTAAGGACAGCCTAGAGGGAGACATTTGCTGCAGGGCTCATGCTGGTGACCTCCAAGGGGGAGGGGGTGGGTTTGGTGAGAGGCTGGACAGAGGGAGAGTCATTGCTGGTCTCAAATCCAGGCCTGGCTGCAGAGGAGGGAGGGGTTGCCCCACATAAAAGCGGCCAGGCAAGTTTAGGATTAGATCCCCCAGCTCCTCTGCAGCTCGGCCCAGCCACCCAGGACTCTCCCGGCTGTCCACGGGGTCTAGTCTGAGGCCCTGCCTGCAGCTGGCGGGACTGGGGGGCACTGATTGGTTGTGCTCTGTGCCTAGCCTGAAACAGGCTCCAGTCACCAGGACCATTTTGCAAGCCGCGGCTTTGCTTGCTGGGGCTGGGCGCTAGGAATGCAGTGAGTGCTGCAGAGCCTGGAGGCTTGTGGGTCTAATCCTGGCAGGTGGGGAGCATTTTAATGAAGCTTGGCAATGCCTTGGTATTTAATTAAGCTTTAAAGCATACTGGCAGCCTACGTGCTGCTTCACGTGCCACAGCCAGTGCTAACGAGAGAGCTTTGTAAGGAAAAGCACATGGCACCAAGTACCTGATGGCAACTGGCCTTGAGCTGTGCAAGGCAGGGGGTGCTGGGATGGGTGGATGAGAGCATTTCTGCTCTGCCCTGCTCTCCCCAAGCAAAGGCCTGATCCTGAGCCCAGTTGTTAAGGGCTTATCCAGACTCAGGCCCTGGATCTTACCAGGACTTAACATGCCAAGTGCTCGGAGGACAAGAGGCAGGGTCTCAGCGCTAAGTCACGGCAGCGCTCGGGAGTGCTGGAGGTGTCCGTGCCTCCAAGGGGGACAGGAGCATCCCTGACTGTGCCCTGTCCCCTCTAATCTGTGCCACCGGCTCATCCAAACCCAGGTGCGAGGGACCGCATCGCTTCTCCAGTGGCAACAGTGTCCTGAAGGCAGCAGCTGACTCGAGGTAAGCGTGGCACTCATGGTAGGCGGCATTTGCTGGACGTAGAAGCTGCCGTGCCCCGTGTTAACACAGGAATGCAGGATCTGGTGACATCCGTGACTGTTTTCCCCTTGCGGTGGATTCCTGCCCCTGGAGCTGTAGAGCGGAGCAAACGACCCTGGCGTGGGGGACAGAAGCCGGAACTGCCCCGCTCCAGTGTTTTTTTTGTGGGGGGAGGTCTTTGGATGTGCTGTTTGGGTTTGATTCAGGAGAGGACTAGGGGTGAGCTCCAGAGATGAGAGGGCCTTGCTTTGGGCTGTTCAACCTATTCCCAGTGATTCATCTCCCAGAGGGCCAGACGGCGTGGAGGATACGGCTGCGCTGCCAGGGGGCTTTGGCTGGGGACAGCTGTGTGTCTCGAGGGAGCTCTTGTCTGTGACCCGCTCGGACACGTGGGAAATGACGTCCTTGGTGACTCGGGGCGGCGGGACCGGCACACAGGCGAGGCAGCGATAGGCCCTGGGGCTTCTCCTGCTGCCGTGGGGGCTGGGGATGAGTGGCAGGAGCTGGGTTACACGGTCCTGGGCTTCGGGCAGATTTCTTTTGCTGAGACCTGCTGTGGGAGGGGAGGCCAGGTCCTTCCCCCCACCCAGGGTCCACGCCGAGCCATGTCTGCTAGGCCCCGGCACGGCTCCAGCCCCAACGCGTGGTGCCTTGGAGCCCCGACCTCCATGTAAACAGAGCTGCTCCGTGTCCCCCGCCCTCGCGCAGCCTCCTTGTGTCCTCAGCCTTGGCCTCAGCCGCGGCTCCAGCTGGTCCCGCTCGGAGCAGACGCGCCGTTGTTTACCCTGCGAGCCTCGCCTGTCTCGCTCCGGCTGCACGAGGGCCCCCAGACACAGTCCCCCGGGTGCTGCCGCTAGCGTCTGCTCTCTCGGAGCTCGTCGACGAAGGTGCCGAGGCTGGCGACTGCCCTGCGACTACGAGGAGGAGGGCAGGATCTGGCTGCGACGCGCTGCTCCGTGCACGGCGGGGGTCACGGTGGCCTCTGCTTTCCCAGGGCGGCCCAGTCGCTCTTACCCTGATGACGCCTGGCCCCCTTCCCTCCCTCGGGCCGTTTGGCGGCTCCTGCCCGGGGCTGCAGGTCGTTGGGGCACTTCAGCCCACCTCAATGCTGGGCCTGGGGCATCATCGGGTGCTCGCTACCCCGGGGGAGGGGAAGGCGTCGACATCGGAACAGCCCGTTGAGGCAGGACCCGGCAGGGAGGGTGGCACCGCAAGGCCGGGCCGTGACCCTGCGCAAGCGGAGCGGGCAAACACGCTGGGGTGCCCGCTAGCCCTGGCGTCGGTGCCCCCAGCGCGGGTTCGGAGGAGGTCGGAGGGGGTTTGTCTGGGACCCCCTCCCGCCGTGCACACGCACAAGCGCTAAAGCGCGCCAACCTGCAGCGCCCAGCCGGCGCGGGCGATTGGCGGGCGGCTGCCCGCGCAGGCGCGGATG